TAATTGATTCAACATCTACGGAAACTATTTCAACTTCACAATTTCAATCTACTCGTGCTCCAAGAATTTCAAAATCTCGTCCAATTATTACTGCTTATTCACAAGAATTACAGGAACAAGTTGAAATTGAGTCTCCGATAAATGATGAACCTCCAAAAAAAAATATAATTTCTCATGATGACATAATCATACCTACTTTAGCAAAGAAATTAAAAATGAACGGACAATTACCTTATTCTAATCATGATGCCCTGTTAGGTGTTAGTGATGAACCTGATAAAGTTAAACCAAAGCCAAGACCAGAATCTGGATATATGGATATAACTGATCAAGTTGAAAATCTTTTTGAAGATATAATTGATCAAGTTGAAAATGAACAACTAACGGTTACGAAAAAGCGTGCGTCAGTTGTATCTCAACGACGTCGACGACGATCCACTCCCAGAAGGCCAACAAGGAGATCACGTCCAAATTCTCAAAGGAATAGTAAATCATTTAGTGAACATTATGTACAAACTGATGAAATAATGATCCCTTCTACAGTGGAAGATGAACCTTCTAATGATGATGGTGTTAGAAAACGTAATAGAAAATCACGAAGAGAAGAATATGTGTTCTTAGTTAGGGATGAAGAAGAAGAAGATGAAATTAATACTGAGGTAAATTAGTTTTTTTTTAAAAAAAAAATATTTTTAATTTCATAAAATTTCTTGGTTTCTGATCTTATATAATTTGTAATAGCCGATAACATATTCTGAACCACCGACGTCAACTACACCACCACCACTTCCTCTTGAACAAGTACCTGTTGAGCAAAATGAGATATTGGCGGATACTAACAACGTACGTTATAAAAATTTTCTTTACAACCTATAATAATTTTTACAACTAATTTTTTGATTTTTCATATTTAAAAGGATTCGTTAACGGCACAATACGAAAGGCATAATATCACGGTTCATCCAGTTCAATCAAATGTCGCACCTGTCGCATTGAAACTTGAGAGAACTTTAACTAAGAGTTCAATTAACAAAAAGAAACAAAAGAAAGATAAGAAGAGTAAAAAGCAAAATAAAAAAGTTGAAGAAGACGACGATGAAGATGGTTATACTAAAAAATCAGCTCGCTGTTGTATTATTTGCTAATTTATTTATATGATTTCTAACATAGCTGGGCATTTTACATATGGGTATTTGTTATATAAAATTGCATTTGTATTTATTGGTAGATTATGTATTTTCACTTTTAGAGAACCGATAAAATATATTAATCCGTTCCCTCCTATCCGCGGGCTTCAAATGGGTCATACGGCTCCCGCGGGTCGGGGGAACAAAATGATATATATATATATATTTTTTTAGCGATTTCAATCTATAACGTGGAAAAAAAAAAAAAAAAAAAATGCTTTTGCAGAAAGAACATCATATTCATTAAGATTTCAACACTTTGTATTATTTTTCATACCTCATTATATTTGTTGAAACAATTATCTTGTATTTTATATCATATTACTTTCTGCCGGACTTTTTTATTCTGCTTTTAATTATGTATACTTTATATCTATTATCAAATTTTCCAATGAGGAAAATTTGTAACATTGTAACGCACTGTCGAGGGATTCTCGTTTAAAAACACCATATTAAAAAAAAAAAAAAAAAATTCATTTTAAAAAATATAGCGATAGGGGATTGGTTCTTTTATTTCGGATTCATTAAATGTGGGCTGTGATTTGATGAGCATGTATTTCTATATATATACTACTATCAATGAAAAAAAAAAAATAAATCCTTCTTATTCACCGTTTTCAAAACTTTTATAACTTTAAAAACGGGGGAAACAGAGGGATATAATAAACTTTAAAACAAATCTATCAATAAATTTTTAATGGACTGATTTTTTTATACGTATAAAATTTCAGTTAGGTAGATTGTTACAATAACCGGGGGGTTTTTTTTTTCTTTCCTTATAATTTTAAAGTCTAATTCATTTCTTTTTAACGTGCGAAGGACAGTTCTTAAAAAGTAACATATATGCAAAATTATAGGAATAATACTCGCGTTAAAAGAAAGTGAAGCTTTTTAATCTTGTGTACGATAACTTATCGTTATAACTCAGGTCACATTACAGATTATCATTATAGATCAAATCAAAAGTTAAATGGCAGGTTAATAAGGTCTTAAAAAGTTTAAAACTTTGTATACAGATTGATATTTAGTGTTTGGCCAAAATTATTTTTATAACATTTAATCTTCAATAATATTTCCTGGCGACGCCCATATGTTTAACAATATCAAATTTGGATATCAATAAACGTTACGTATAATACGCATCGATACTTCTATGAAAATGAATTTAAATATTATTAATTAATAAATCAACTTAATTACAAAACGCTAAAGTTTATGTTTTAATATATTAATAATGTATGACGATATTATTTTATACAATTTATTAAATTATTAATCATATTTTAACGAATATATCTATATGTTTACAGTTTTACTAAAATCTCACTTCATTGGTGCTAAGCATTCGAAAGTTTTAGAATATGTCTTCAGTTCCTAGCATGTTAAATCTATTTAGTGTTTAGTTAATTATCATGCATAAATATTTATACCGATACTTCAAAAAACATTAACATACTTTTGTTTGTTACAAAAATATGTCAATACCTATTAATGCATTACGTTTTTATTTATAGTAAAGTTCGTAATCCCCCCTGGCAATATCAAATTCTTAGAATATTTCACAAAAAACGATAACCTTCTTATCAAATTTGATAAAAAATTTTTATTTGTATACAAATACAGTAATAGAATTTAATAAAAAAATTTTTATCGATTTGGTTTGGTGGTTATCGAAATATCTTTTCTCGATTTTTAATTTTTAATTTTTTTCCTTTGACAGTATGTTAGAAAACTTTATTAAGTTATTAAATATTCTTAAACTACTATTATACGTATACGTATACTGTACCGCCCCGAAATCAAGTACCATCGCGTTATAGAGGTTGGACTAGAGATGGGCAAAATACAAAATTTCTATTTTAGCATGCACATGCGCATGCATTTTTTGCATGCATGCATGCATGTTTTGGCCAAAGTTATGATTTAATTTCATAATTCTGGCCAGAATTAATTGCATGTTAATTGCATGTTTTGCATACCATGCATGCAATTGCCTATCTCTAGTGATCCTTGAAAATCGGTTTAGCCGGTCAATTTTTTTTTAAAATCAGTTGATCGATTTTATTAATTAGAACTATGCTTTTTAAAAATTCCTATATAGAAATTGAATAAATGAACTTAATGATTTTTAAAAGATTCCGAAGTTTTAAAAAAGTTGACTAAGCTGGCTAAGCCGATAAAATTTTATTAATTATTAAATTATAAGTATGCAATTAATTATATAGTATAATTTTTAGTAGTTTTAATCTCTAAGTAAAATTAAAATTTAAAAATAAACTTTTAAACAATTTTTTTTTATAAAAAAAAATATATTATAACATATTTATATAATCAAAATTTTTTTAACTAGTTAAACTAATAAAATTAAATTAACTTTAAAATTCTAATATTAAAAATTCTAACAAAACAAAAATTTTGACAAATTTGGCTAAAATTAACTACAGTAAAATATCATATTATTGATTTTTTTAAAAATTTATAATAAATAAATAGCTAAAAATTATATAATAAATTTATAAAATCTATAGTTTTTAAATAAAAAAAAAGATTTTAAATTTTTATATAATACTTTTTGAGATAATTAAACTTGTATAACTTTGTATAATATTATATTTGTATTGTTATAAAATAAGTTTTAGTATATTTCTTAATTATTATATAAGAATTTATAATTATATATAGGATGTTTGAAGTACAGTTTTAATTTTTTTTATAAAAAACAATTTTTTATAAAAAAAAAAAAATTTATTTACTTTAGGGTTAGAGTAAAATTTAAGATTTTATTTAGATATTAGTATATGCAAAATTTGGTAAAGAATTTTTTTTTTGTTATTAAAGATAGTTTACATTGCTAAAAGAATTTTATTAGCATTACAAATAGAATTATATATTAATAATCTCTACTATTTGTAATTATATGAAGAGTATATAACAAGCTATACATACAATTTTAGTTATTGTTTATTTTAAGTAGTTTATTATACAAGTGTTAGACTATCTAATTGATTCTATACTATACTACTATATCTGTAATCTGCTTGTAAGTTATTTATTTAAATACTCAGTTTATTAATCTATACAGATCTAATCTAACATTACTGCAATATCTAACTGGTTAAGCTAGCAGATCTATTTATTCAGAATAGTTTAGATTCTTTTTTTTTTTTTAAAAAAAATTTAGGTAATCTTACCCTTCATTTTATTAGGTACATATCTTAAAGATATTTGAACAAATACATAAATAAAAGAAAAAAAAATTTTCTAATTTAAGTCATGCCTGCTTTATTGCAATTCTGAATTCACTTAGCTGCCCAGATGGTGCTTAAATATGATCTGCTGCAGTAGCATAATTTTTTTTCTGAAACTAGATGCATGACTAACATGCCTATCTAGTCTCGATCAGCAGAAAGCTACTACTAGCCTATATCAAGACCACCTTAGCTAAACTATCTTAACTTTAATCCTAGATACTACCCTAAGAAAAAAGTTAGAATATAATCTAACTAATGTGAAAAAAATAAAAAATTGTATAAGATCTGAGTAGCAATAATCTATACCAGATATCTAGACTATAAAAAAATCTGTTACAGATTAAAACAAACTAGACTAGATTATAAAACAAAATAAAAAGAAAAGGAAAAAAAAAAAAATAAGAAATAAGAAAGAGAGATAGTATACTATACTGCTCCTAGTATAGTACTAATAAAAATTGTATATAGCTACTTTTCTATGTTTTTTGCTATAATTTAAAAAAATTTTAATCTGCGCCTAGAAGAGTTTACTTCAGAACTAAATTCAGATAGCCTTTCATACAAGTTTCCTATAACATATACTTCAGCTAACACATGTTTGTTTATGTAGACTTGAATGTAAATAGGCAGTTCCTAATATAGTTTGTCGATTATAGATCTTTTAACAGGGAGTAGCTGATTTCTCTAGTTTGCTTCAAAAAACAACAAAGCCAGTAAAAGAGAAAGTCTAAAAAATATATTCAGAAGAACCTTGCTTGTAGAGTATATTGTAATAACTATAAGACTATGTTATTTTGAAAGAATATAATAATAGAACAAGTATATGTTTGTTTTCTATAATCCAAACAAAATACTTGACAAAAGCTCCTAACAGTGCCACTTCTACTCAAAAGTTTCTAAACATATAATATGAGTTGCAACCTCAAGACAATATTTTTCAACTACTATAAGCTGAACATTTTAATTCCTCTGTATTACTAGAAGGAGTTATGTATTTTTTTGTTATATTTTCCTTCTTTTTCTACAGGTCAGTATTGCTCTACATAGGTTCAAGTAATTGTTAGAAAGAGTGTCTATAGCTTAGATTCTTTCAAAATATATTATATCTAATATATTATTAATATTATAGAACTAGTTAATCTTGAAGCAAACCTATTAGAACAGTTTATATTCATTTTACAAATTCATTTAGATTAGACTCTTGTAGATATTTGTACAATTCTAAATTTCACTATATTTCTTTACTAGTTAGATAACTTAGTCTTTTTCTAGTATTTAGTTAGTCTTAATTATCTTTTATTTAGAAACTTCAAAACCTTCTACTTTTATTAAACTGAATTTTTTTTTTTAGATCAGACTTTAACTAATATGGTCTTATCAAAAAGTCATATTACTTTACTAATTCAGAATTTTTACTATACAGATCTTCTACTTCTATATTTTATCAAAATTTATTTATATAAAATTATATTATATTTCTAAGTTTTATTGATTTGGTATAACTTAATTTACAGAGATATGTTTTTAGAAATAAACAAAGTTTACTGTAATATATCACAAAGTCTAAGAAATTATTAAAATTTATTAGAATTTAAACTTCAGATCTATTATATAGCAATCTGACAACTTAACTATTATACTAGATCACTAGATCTTAAAAATTTTTTTATTAAAGTTTCAAAAATAGTTTTTTAGATAAAATTTTAAAATATTAGTATTTTATTTTATTTTATTTTTTTTTTAATTAAAGGTAGCTTACTATGCCAAGTAGATTTTATTAGTTTAATATATGAGGTTATCTATTGACAATTCCCTACAGTTTGTAATTATATGAAGAGTGTACAACCTGCTACACGTACAACTTTAGTTATTATCTAATTTAAGTAGTCCACCATACAGGTAGATCATCTGTTTGGTTCTACACAAGCAGCTATACCTGTAACCTACTTGTGAGTTATCTATTTAGACACTCTGTTTATCTAACTAATACCAGAATCAACTACCGTTACTGTAACATCTAACTGCTTAAGCTAGCTAGCTCATTACAGATCCATTTATCTAACTCAGCTTAGGTCCTCTTAAGATGCATATTGCTCAATATATTGTGGTACACAGAGCTCCAGTTAACCTCATAAGCAATCTTACTAGAGCAGTCCATACTCATTTCATAGATTCATCTAGCTTAGACTCTTGCAAATATTCATATAACCCCAGTTCCTACCATAGCTCTCTACTAGTTTTCTGTATCTATCTTCTTAGATGTTTCATGAGGCAGATCCTCCCAATCCAG